CGAGCGTCGTCGTCGTCGTCGTCGTCTTCGTCGTCGTCTTGGTCGTCTTGATCGTCGTCGTCGTCGTTTTCGTCGTCATCGTCGTCTTCGTCGTCGTTTTGGTCGTTTGAGTCGTCGTCGTCTTTGTCGGCGTCGGCGGTGGCGGCTTGGTCGTCGTCGTCGTCATCGTCGTCGGCCGCGCCAGAGAAGACGGGGGAAATTCCGTAGAAAAGGTTAGTCTTGTAATTTTCTAGCGGCGCTTTGCCGCATCGGAGCCTGCCCTCAGATAGTAATTCGAGTAACTACGTGTAACTGCGCGTAACTGCGTGTAACTAGGTGTAACTAGGTGCAACTGCGTGTAACTAGGTGTAAGAAGGTGTAACTAGGTCCAACTGGATGTAACTGCGTGTAACTGCGTGTCAATAGGTGTAACTAGGTGTAACTAAATGTAACTAGGTGTACCTAGGTGTAGCCGTGGTCGACGTTGTCGCTCAATGCGCGACGCTACTTGCCGGCACACTGCAGAAGTTTGTTGCGTGCTTCACGGCGATTCAACGCCGCCCCTTGGTCGAGGGCCGAGAGCTCCTGGCGACGATTTCGGGCCACTACGGCATCCTTGTGCACATGCCTAACATGTCAGACGACCTCAACGCCCACCTGAATTCGCTCCAACTGCGCCGCCGAGAAGCACCGCATGTCCGTTGAGACTTAGATTGCGATTCTAGAATTCTGGACGAGTGGATTTTTTCTGGGAGGGAAAATGCATCAGAGGGCCCACAGTGGCCCGCGAAGTTTTGGGGGCCGTCAACATTGCCAAGCTTTCGACAACGTTGTCCCAGATGCAATCGAGTTCTTCCAGTATCTAGATACGCGCAGGGCTCTGGCCAACAACATAATTCATCACATCGCACTTACTGGTAGGATCTACTACTCGGCGCCCAGCGTTTCTCTTGCAGATATGACATTGTCGGCATCGGCGGTTCACGGCCCTAACAAGATATGGAATTGGATTATTTTCCATTTTCATTACGATAGCCGCGCATGTGCCTGACAAGTCCGAGAGCAAGAACATCCCGCTTTGGCTTGCCAAGCTTCCAGAGTTCGTTGACGAGCTGGGCAGGCCCTCGTTATCGCCGCCCGTGGTTTCGACGAGCGACGCTCGTATAGCTCGGGCAAAAGGAAAGCACGCATTCTGCTGACGCTCGAACCCGACGATGCTTCAGGATGCGAGTTGCATGCGCGCACGAGGAGTGTCATCATTGGTACATGTTTGCGTTACGCGGCTTTCGTTTGCGGAAAATCAAGATGAAACATTGGGCCCCCACGCGCTACACCATGCTGTCTGGTTGCATTGACGACGCTTCCCGGGAATGGACTAAGAAGCCCCCGTTGTGCCAGGACGCCCGTGGGCTATATTTGAATATCATAGATGCCGAGGCCCGTGCGCTTGAAAGTGACTCCCCCGACAATTTCCAGCGTTTGGAGCAGGGGAAAAAAATTGAACTTCGCCGAAGCATTTGGAGACAATTCCGCCGTCGCACGTGGCTTCAACGAGTTGCGGATGGAAATAACACCCTTGTCCCACCCCTGAGGTGTCTGCTGAGGCACCGAGGCTCCACTGGGTCTTCGGCGACATGCAAGGAGACCGCTCCAGCTGGCCCGAGCCCCATGCATTTCGCCCAGCAAGTTCCTGCAAAAGCGACCGCGTCTTGGGAAGTGGCATACGAGACCTTCTTCTCGGGGGCGCATCATGATGAAGCGTGAACACAGCATGCCTGGGCCTGCGGGGACTCCGCGCAATTGCTGGCGGCACGGGGGGCGCCCTTAGAATATTCTGCGACGTCTCACCAGGACCTAGTAGCTGGATCGCGTGACATGCTTCCACGGGATACGCCCGAGGCACCAATGTCTGTCTTCCCGAAGGGGGACTCGCCGAACGACGTTGGGACGGGTGGTCAGAACCCCCGAATGGACACATTCACTTTCTATGGGTAACACTGACGCCAAGCTGATGAACGCACGCATGCGCCGCTACGGCTGAAGCTCCCCTTCCCAAGATTTCTACTTCGCAGGCTTCAGTATCTGGTCGCAGCATGGCCGCCCGCATCATCCGCGCTGGTGCGCGGGCTATCTCTGACCATGCGTTCGGTCGTGACGATTGATCCCTCGCCTTGGCTGACTACCCTGCGCCGCCCCCCCTGATCGCTCGGTGAGTTGGTTTCGCGCGGTTTGGGGTGCCATGGGCATGCTTGGTTTTATTTTGCGCCCGCACCGCGCGTTTTACAGTGAGAATTCGATCGATGTTGCTCGAGGTGTTCGTCCGGGGGTGGCCGTTTCTATAGTCTTTCTCGCATAGGGGGCGTTTCCCTTTCAAATATTTGCACACGGTCAGACAATCCAACAGTTGGAGGCCTCTGTAGGCATTGCGCTGAACGTCTTCACGTGCATTGCCTTGGCGCGTTCGATTGAGTTTCTAGAGGGAGTGAGAAGTTCTTTCGTTGAGAACTGCCTGGGGACTGCCAGCTTGCTGGCATGTCTATATTGCAGGCATCGTCGCACGATGATTGGCCGGGTCGCCCACTAATGCTGCTGGAGCAAGCCCGCGGCGAAGTTCGCCCTTAAAGTAAGAGAGGCAAGGCAGACAGGTCTCACATCTACCGAAAAATATCGCGACGCGTAACACCTTCTGTCTCAGCAGCCTCTCTGTTGTCATGTAATTTGCCCAGCTCTCACGCGAAGTTGAATCTGTAATTGCGCCCTGCAGCTCCAGCTCCGAGAAGCTATGAGATAGATACGACTATGGTATCCCTGAGTTATCCTGGTCAACCCGGGCTGCGAAATTCCAGTTTGTCTCGAGGTGTCCTGAAATCCGGGGGATCCTGGAGGGCTTGGAAAATACTTTCATCGAAACGAGGCTTGTATCACTCGCACGATATATTTTTATATATCGTGTATATATATATATCTAAAATATACGTATGTGGTCGCAAGTCAGTTTTGCGCGCGTTCTTCTGAAAACATGCAAGTGGGTTCGTGGTGCGTTCGCCAGTTCGCCGAAACGTGTTCCGAATGATGGCAATTCATTACGTGCTGCTCTTGGCAGTGCTCTTGCCTTACCATCTGACTTTTCTGACGGCGCCGCGTTTTTCACAAACACACACACACACACACACACGCACGCACGCACGCACGCACGCACGCACACACACACACACACACACACACACACACACACACACACACACACACACACACACACGCGCGCAAGTGAGGAATGGAAGAGCGGGAGGAAGAGGGGAAGCGGGAGGGTGGCTGGCAAAGATTCCAAAAGCCCCGCATGTGGGGAGAAGACGGGAGGCAGAGGTGAAAGAAAGTGGATGGAGGATAGAGGATCGGCGGACCAATTGTTGAAATAGTTGCAGTTTAGGGCTGAAGGCGGGCCCGCCCGCAGCACTCGAAAGTGGCGAAAGGGTCGCAAATCACAGCCCCCCAGGAATAGCGAAGTGTAATCTGAATGTGGGTAGGGCCCTGCTGTGCTGCCCACCCCATTTGGCAGCCTTCGAAACTGGCATCAGTTCGCAGCCCCCCCCAAGGGATGGCGAGGTCACTATGCTGGCCCTCCCAACAGCCTCGAAAATTGCGACTGTCTCGCAGCTCGCAGCCCCCCAGGGATGGCACTGTTTACTCTGAATCTGGGTAGGGCCCCCAGCATGTTGGCCCCCCCCAGCTGTCTTCGAAGTTGGCGACAGTTTCGAAGATCGCAGCCCCCCAGGGATGGCGCGGTTTAGTCAGAATCTGGGTCGGGGCCCGGTATGCTGCCCCCTTCTGGCAGCCCTCGACTGTGGCGACGGTTTCGCAGATCGCATCCGAGTTGGGCAGGGCCCCGCCATGCTGCTTCCGCTAGCAGCCTTCGAATGTGGCGACGGCTTCGCAGATCGCAGCCCCCACGGGATGGCGAGGTCTAATCTGCATCAGGGTAGGGCCCCAGTATGCTGGCCCCCCCAGCAGCCGTCGAATCGCGGCCCCGCCCAGGGACGAAAAAGTCTAATCTGAAGCTGGGTGGGGTCCCACCGCAGCAGCCCTTGGAAAGTGGCGACAGTTTCGCAGATCGCAGCCCCCCAAGAGAGGACGACGAGGTAAGAAGCAGACTGGCAGGCAGGTGCAAGCCAGGTGGCAGGCAGGAGAGAAGAGGAGAGGGAAAGCTGAAGAGGGAGGAGGAGGGAGCCGGGAGAAGGAGGAGAAGCGCGAGCAGCGTTCCGTTCAAAGCGGGAACCCAACACAGGAGGGTTGGGAAAAAGAAGAGGCAGGGATGGGGGGGAAGCATGATGGGGAGGAGGAAACAGTGGGGCGTGGGACTTTGCCGATGTAGAGCTACCGAACGGGGATCCCATTCCACCACATGATGGTTGGTGACAAACACAAGGACGGAATTTCGGAATCAACCGGAAAAGCGATGACGATGTTAATGGCGATGAGCAGGTCGAAGAAATGTCGCGCAGGGCGAGAGGGGCATCATTACCGCAAAGACTAAATGTTACCAAATTGTTGTTACACCCCCGCGATGTGTGTTACGCGGTTTGTCCTTAAGATGCCATTGCTGTAGGGGTGGGAATCCATGGATTCCTGCCATGTCAAATCCCAATACATGCCTGCCTATCACCACCCATCCCAATCAATTCACCCGTCCATCCACGCACCCAACCATCATAATTACATCCATCACGGGTGCTGACAGCGGAACACACATGCGATCAGCATAACGGGTAGCACGTATTCGATTCGGCAATCGATCGTTTTTTTTGATTGCATGTGTTCAAATGTGTGCCCCGACAACATCTTCACACGACCAAGTGCGTGTTAACAAAAAGCGCAGCAGTGCTCCTTGTCCTCCGTCTTCCCTCCTTCATCTTTTTCATCGTTGTCGTCGTCATCATCCCCCCTCCATCCCTCCCTCCGTCTCCCTCTTCCCAGCTGGCCGTGACGAGGGCCTCCTGGTCCGTCTCGGTCTCGGCGGCCAGCAGGCACCCGGCTGACAAGAACGGCCCGGGCTACATCTCGAAGGCGGCGAGGGGCAACGCGATGCTAGGAGTAGCGGGATCGAGACGCAGGAGCGATTGAGCGAGAGGGAACTTGGAAAGGAGGGTAGGGGGGGGGGAATGGAGGGAGGGAGGATGAGGGGGTGATGGAGGGAGGGAGGGATCAAGGGAAGGCGGAGGAGGAAGAGGACCAAGCGGAAACGATGAGAGGCGAGAAGGAGGCGATGATGATAGAGGATACGGAGGATGGAGGAGGACGAGGAGGAGGCGGAGCGAAGAGGCGGAGAAACAGGGCGGAAGGAGGAAGGGGGCGGGGTGGGCGGATGGAAAAAGAGGGTGGAGGGAGAAAAAGGGTGGAGCCCAGAGGCCATAGGGAGAAAGCGAGCGGAGGGAGGAAGGAGAAGGGGAGAACCTCGCAAACACTTTTCCTTTCGCTCCCCCGTGTGCTGCTGTCCGTTCTCCCCCATCTCCGCCGACCCCAGGAAAAGAGTTCTGCGGTTTCCGATTGTGCATGTGTTGCTTGACGCTTTCCAACGTGTTGTCTGCGTGTACGGTAGGTTCGCGTCGTGTCGACCGGCGGCGACCCCGACGCCGGCGTTCAACGTTGAACGCCGGCGGAGGCCCAGAATCGGTCGATGTTGAACGATCGGACGTTAAGGAAATGGCCGATCGTTCAAGGTTGAACGATCCTCGCGGCGTCAGGGACCAACGCCCAGGTCGACACGGCACGAACCTGCCGTAGTTGTTGATTCGTTTTCCTCATGTTCCGCTTCTGTAGGGCGGGTTTCTCGGGGGCTGTTCTGGAGGCCCAGGGGGCGATTCTTCGGAGCCTGTGCAAAGCTCCCGGAATGTGTTGAAGGCTATGTGGAGGGGCTTGGGAGTATGTTGGGGGTCTTAGGGACAATGTTTGAGGGAGGGTTCCTTGGATCCCTGCGTGTTTCCCCTCGTGAGTGCCTTCGGGCCCTCAGAGGGCGGCCTCTTGGGCCGTCGTAGGGCAGGCCTTCGTGGGGCATCTTTGGGGGTTCTTGGGTCGGTGGGGGCCTCTCGGCCATATCCGTTTTCTTCGGCGCCCGAAAAGAGGAGAACGAGAAAATCATTCAACAACCAAGGCAAGTTCACAGTGTTGTGCCGCTTGAGGCACTGCTTGAAGCCCTCTTGGGGCGAATAGATTGGGTCTCGGGCCGTCTTGGGACCATCTTGGTTGTTATTGAGGCTTCTCCTGCGTGTTGGAGCCCTTCTGAAGCATCTTGGCGGCCACAGAAGGTCGATCTGGAGACTCCAGGCGTTGACGAGCTCGTTCCCCCCCCTCCCCCATTTCCGCCCCCCCTCAGATCCACTCGTAGTCAGACTCGCTCGTACTCAGACCCATTCGGGCTCAGACTCGTACCGGTTATACTCATATTCAGACCCTCTCACACCCAGATTTGCCCACACTCTGAATCAGTCTCACTCCGACTCACTCATACTCTGAATTGCGTATTCTCAGGCCCATTGGTACCCAGACTCTCTCAGACCTATTGACACGCACACTCAACCATACGAACACCCGTTTATACCTCGAGCGCGTTTGTATTCGAAATGTTTTGCGTTTAGACACTCACGGCGGACAGGTCCATGCAAATAGATGCACATATGGGGAGCTCCACGCAGTGAATAATTGGCATCCTGGCGTTGCACCTGGGCGTGCGCATCCGCACCTGGGGCTGCAGTTCGCTGTTCCTGCTGGGCTCTCAGCTGCATGTCAGCTTACTCTGTCGGCAGCGTTCCTCCGCGGTGGTTCGTCGGTCCCCTCCCCTTTTGGGTCGCGGGGGTCGCTCTCCTCGCCGTCGTCGGTCGGTCGCGAGTCGGCCGCGTCGCGGTTGCGGGTCTTCGCGTCTCTACGGGGTCTTTCTTTTGCTTTTGCTTTTGCTGCTTTCCCCCCCCTCTCCCTGTTCCTTCCGGGTCGCCCCCACCGCGGGGGTCTGTTTCTTTGTGTTCGAGCATGGCGTATCTTGTTTGCGGGTTCGCTTTGCTTCTCTTTTATTCTGCCGCCGTTTGGTCGGAGTGGTGCGACCTTTGCGGTGATGCGTACAGCCCCTCTTGGGCCTAGATGGTTCCATCTTGTCTGGTTTTGCGTTCACCTCCCTCGCCGGTAGCCTTCGCGGCTCTGGTTGCGGTTGGGGTTTTCTGTTCTAATGTTGGCGTCAGCACTGCAGATTTGGCCAGGCTCGCGCCTGTCCACCACCCATGTGCGCCGCCACAGTTTGCGGCTGCTGCTCGTGGTCGCCCGGGGCTGTTCAAGGCTAAGAGGCCTCGGCTGCGTGAGCTCTTTATCATGCCGACCTCATGCACCCTGTTGCAGGGTCGCCCAATATGTTACTTGTTCGCTGCAAGGTCGGTGGCATTGCTTTGTCGCGCCGTTCCCCTGGGCGTATGCACCGCCACCGAGTTGGCTGGTCTGGCAGCCTTACAGCTCTTTTTCGTGACTGTCCCTCCGAGGCTTCAGTTAGCACCAGACTGCTGCATGCGCTTCAAGCGACCCGCGTCGAGCTTATGTTCCTGGGGTTTTTTGGCCGCTGCACTTTGGCATTACAGCGCTTCCCGTCTTTTCACCACCAATCTGCGTGGCCGTGACTGGACTATTTCATCACGGCGCGTTCGACTAAGTTCGTTCGCAATTTGCACATCAACTTGCCGACTGCGCCTGAGGTCCCCCTGCGCCGCCGACTTAGAATTGTGCGTGTGTGCGTGCGTGTGTGCGTGCGTGTGTGTGCGTGTGTTGTGCGTTGTGTGTTGTTGTGTGTTGTGTGTGCGTGTGTGTGGGTGTGGGTGGGTGTGTGTGGGTGTGTGTGTGGGTGTGTGTGGGTGTGTGTGTGTGGGTGTGTGTGTGTGGGTGGATGTGGGTGGGTGTGGGTGGGTGTGGGTGGGTGTGGGTGTTTGGCGTGTGTGGGTGTGTGTGTGGGTGTGTGTGGGTGTGTGTGTGTGGCTGTGTGTGGCTGTGTGTGGCTGTGTGTGGCTGTGTGTGGCTGTGTGTGGCTGTGTGTGGCTGTGTGTGTGTGGCTTCGTGTGGCTGTGTGTGGCTGTGTGTGGGTGCGTGTGTGGCTGTGTGTGGCTGTGTGTGGCTGTGCGTGGTTGTGCGTGGCTCTGTGTGGCTGTTTGTGGCTGTATGTGGCTGTGTGTGGGTGCGTGTGTGGCTGTGTGTGGGTGCGTGTATGGCTGTGTGTGGGGGTGTGTGGGGTTGTGCGGGGGTGTGTGGGGGTTTGTGGGGGGGTTTGTGTGGGGGTATGTGGGGATGTGTGTGTGTGTGGGTGTGGGTGGGCGTCGGTGGGTGTGGGGGTGGGTGGGGTTGGGGGTGTGGGGGTGTGGCGTGTGCGCGTTTGTGTGCGTGTGCGCGTGCGTGTGCGTGTGAGTGTGCGTGTGCGCGTGCGTGTGCGCGTGTGCGCGCGCGTGCGCTTGCGCGTGCACGCGCGTGCGCGTGCGCGTGCGCGTGCGACCTGTGCGGCGATGCGTACAGTCCCTCTTGGGCCTAGATGGTTCCCATCTTATTTGGTTTTGCGTTCACCTGCCTCGCCGGTAGCCTTCGCGGCTCAAGTTGCGGCTGGGGTTTTCTGTTATAATGTTGGCGTCAGCACTGCAGATTTGGCCAGGCTCGCGCCTGCCACCACCCATGTGCGCCGTCGCGTTTTGCGGTTGCTGCTCGTGGTCGCCCGCGGCTGTTCAAGGCTAAGAGGCCTCGGCTGCGTGAGTTCTTCATCATGCCGACCTCATGCACCCTGTTGCAGGGCCGCTCAATCTATTACGTGTTCGTTGCAAGGTCGGCGACACTGCGCGCACGCACCGCCACCGAGTTGGCTGGTCCGGCAGACTCACAGCTCTTTTTCGTGACTGTCTCTCCAAGGTTTCAATTAGCACCAGACTGCTGCATGCACTTCAAGCGACCCGCGTCGAATTTATGTTCCTGGGGTTTTTTGGCCGCTGCACTTTGGCATTACAGCGCCTCCAGCTTTTTCACCACAGTCTGCATGGCCGTGACTGGACTATTTCGTCACTCGACTAAGTTCGTTCGCAATTTGCACATCAACTTGCCGACTGCGCCTGAGGTCCCCGTGCGCCGCCGACTTAGAATTGTACGTGCGCTTGAGTTCGCCTTTTGGACAGTATTGGAGGCCTCTTGGGGGCCTCCTCGGGCCTCTTGGAGGCTTTGGCGGGTTTCTTGGGGGCCTCCTTGGCCGTCTTGGGCGTTCCTGGCCCGTCTGACGCCGTCGGAAGCCGTCTTGGGGGCCTCTCTGAACCGACTTGGGCCCCTCTTGGGGCCCTTCAGGGCCGTCTTGGAGGCCATCTTGGGCGTCTTGGAGGCTTCGTGGGCCGTCTTGGGACCCTCTTGCGGCCATCATGGGGACTTTTTGGGCCGTCATGGGGTCATCTTGGCGGCCTCGTGGGCGACTTTGGAGCTATCTTGGGGGCCTCTTGGGCCGTCGGAAGGCCAAAAAAACACAAATGCCAAAATCTTTCAAAATCCTTCAAAAATCTTCGGATAACCACTGATTTGGGCCTGCTCCGGCCCTCGTGGAGGACCTCTTGGAGGCCTCTTGGGCCGTTTTGGAGGCTTCTTGGAGGCTCCTGAGGCCGTCTTGGACCGTCTTACAGGTTTCTTGTGCGAACGCGGAGGCATCTTGGACTCGCTTGGGCCGTCTTGGAGGCCATCTTGGCGCGATCTGGAGCAGGAAAAACCTTCGCAGCCGGGTCGTCGGAACTTTTCGGCAACCTTTCGGGTGGCCGGCGGGACGGGCCGAAGCCCCAGGGGGAGTTCTTTTGGAAAAAGAGCCAGAACCAAGACCGAAAGGGTTCAGCACGTTCGGCACCCCTGAGATGAATCGACAGGGAGCGGCGGTGCCCAGAGGCGTTCGTCGTTGATCCTTTGACTTTGCGTGCCAGGTGCATCAGAAGAAGATGACGACGAGCAGGGATGAGAAAAGGAGGAGGACGACGATGAAGAGGAGGAGGAGAAGGAGGCGGGGTCATTCTTGAGTACTCAGAGAGCCATTT